TGAAAATGGCAGTAGCACTTAATATGAAACAGTAGTTGAGTTTAATGTTAGTATTTAAAAGCTTGTATGTTGTTATATTCTGCCTTACATGGCCAGCCACACCCCTTTTGTATTGTTTGCCCTGTTTTGGATGGATCTGAAACTTCTTAAAATAATTAAAACGTAAATGACAATAAAAAATGTAATCGTGACTGGGAGCAGTGGCTCACGCCTATAATCCCAGCACTTTGGGAGGCCGAGATGGGCAGATCACCTGAGGCCAGGAGTATGAGACCGGCCTGGCCAACATGGCAAAACCCCATCTCTACTGAAATACAAAAAAATCAGCCAGGTGTGATGGCAGGCACCTGTAATCCCAGCTACTCGGGAGGCTGAGTCTGGAGAATTGCTTGTACCCAGAAGGCAGAGGTTGCAGTGAGCCAAGATTGTGCCACTGCACTCCAGCCTGGGTGACAGAGCAAGACTCCATCTCAAAAAAACAAAAATGTAATTGTTTTTGCATTACAGTGACTTAAACTAGAGTGGACATTGCAGCAGTTTAACATTAAACCTTTATGAAAAATAGGAACATCTGAGGTGTTCACCAAAGGAAATTCTGAGTAAATCTGGTCCTGTATATGCAGAATATGACCTACCTTCATTCAATGTCTTGATCCTTTTCATTGCAGCAGAACTGCTAGTAATTCCCAAGCTTGCCCCAAATTAAGATTTAGTCCTCTGCAGTTGTTTACGTAAAGGTGTTTTCCTACAGTTCAGGGATGTTTTCTGGAAGAGAGAAAAAGAACTAATTGAGAGGAATGATAGAACCGAACAAAAATTTCAAAGTACCTACTTCAGAAATACACAAGGTAATATTCCTTGTGGCTTCAGTATGTAGCTAAATTTTTCGTATAAAATAAAAAAAATTGTCTATTCATATTAATTGCTTTTAGTTCCACAAGCCAGGTTAGTCTAACCTGAATTTTGTGCATTGGCACAGTCTTAATGTTGTATTGACAAATGGGTCTGGAACTAAAAATTGCCTACCAATTTGAAAGCCTTCTTTCTTAGTTGTGTCATGTGCAACCACAGTGGAGATCTAGCACTACTGGAGAGAAACACCTTTTTAGTACCTCTGTTTCTGTTTTCCATGTTGTATGTATGTTGTCTTGTTGGATATTCAACTTCAATGCTTTAGCAGATACTGTGCCTTTATGATGTTTATGTTTACATTGTGTAGTTCAAGCAAGTGAATATCGACTTCCAGTGAGGATATTCTCTCTTTATGGGTGTTTGTATTAATTTGAGTGTTGGCCGGGGAGGGGGGGGGACAAAAAAACTGTACCCATAGTTATTTTCCTTCTATCTGTGGGTGTTTTGGATCTGAATGGGTGAAAATGCATTGTGTCACACCCTCAGAAAGTATACTAATAGTTGCAGATCATTAGGAACAAAAGTTAAAATTGTAACCCAGACATCACTAGTGCTGGATTCATTTGAGCTTATTGCCAGAACCCAGTGTTCCTGGGCTGTGAGAGGCTTAGTAGATTCTTTCAAAACCAGGGTGAAATCCAGTATGATTTTGGAAGGAAATCCTCTTGTGGTGTTACGCAAATGCACATTGGGTGTGTGGTCCTCTTGAAATTCCAGTATCCACATGGTGCTTCTCTCATGGCTCATTGAAAGTGATCTGCCTTCTCTTCAAAGGAGGAATTGCGGCAGGAAGTAGCGGAAAAGGACGAGGAGCCAAGCGCAAACAGCAGGATGGAGGGACCACAGGGACCACCAAGAAGGCCCGGAGGTGGGGAGAGTGCCCACCCCGTCCCACCTCATTATTTAAGTATTACTTGGTGCTGGGAAAGCCCAGCAGAGGGAAAAGAGGTCAAGGGTCTGAGATTAAAAAGCCTGTCCGTTATTTCCAAACCTTGAGCATTTTGAGGGACAAAATAACCCCAGGTTGGAGGTCGGGTGCAGGGGCTCACACCTGTAATCCCAGCACTTTGGGAGGCTGAAGTGGTTGGATGATCACTTGAGGCCAGGAGTTTTAGACCAACCTGACCATGGCGAAACCCCATCTCCACTAAAAATACAAAATTAGGCAGGTGTAGTGGTGAGCACCTGTAATCTCTGCTGCTTGGGAGGCTGCAACAGAAGAATCACTTGAACCTGGGAGGTGGGTTGCAGTCCGACAGGATCATACCACTGCATTCCAGCCCGGGCAACAGTGAAACTCTGTCTCAAAAACAAAACAAAACAAAATAACCCAAGGCCGGGTGCTGTAATCTCAGCACTTTGGGAGGCTGAGACAGGTGCATCACCTGAGGTCAGGAGTTCAAGACCAGCCTGGCCAACGTGGCGAAACCCTGTCTCTACTAAAAAGAAAAAAACAAAAAAATTAGCTGAACCTGGCGGTACATGCCTATAATCCCAGCTACTCAGGAGGCTGAGGCAAGAGGAGCACGTTGCAGTGAGCTGAGATCGCACCATTGCACTCTAGCCTGGGCAACAAGAATGCAACTCCATCTCAGAAAAATAAAACAAACCCAAGTTTAAGTATCATGTTTTATAAATTTGTTAGTACAAAATTTATAATAGTAACAAGGACAGCATCTTCTGGTGATAAGCCTGGGAACCTAGGGAGTGAAGGAAGTTCTGTTAAGGCAACTTGAAGGAGGATAGGTGGGGAGGGAGTAAAACCAGTGTTGAATGTTAGCGCCTTCACTTTCTGCTTCTCCCTTCTCATGCCTTTTCCTTTCCCTTAGTCTAATGCTGAGTTGACGAAATCCAGGTTACTTACTTACTTATTTATTTTTGTGAGATAGAGTTCTCTGTCACCCAGGCTGGAGTGCAGTGGCAGGATCTCAACTCACTGCACAAGTTACTTATTTAGATTAGCAAGATAGCAAGTGCTTAGGTCTCTGAGCTTCTGTTCATTACTTTATAATAATCAATATACTGAAGAAGATCACCCTAATCACCCCCGTTCCTCTTCTCCCTTCACCCCGCTAGGATGTACCAGCTTAGTTTCATAGACCTCAATTCATGCTTAAAGACCACCAGGAAGATCCCCACAGGCTATAAGTAATTTAACCAAAACTACCTTGTCCAATAAAGCTAATCCTTTCACTTCCCTGTTTTGCCTGAAGAGGGCAGAGTGATCTGAGTAATGAGAAGTATTTGCTGTGAAGTTGCATGTGTTCTAGCTGAAATCTAATAAACCAAAGGCCTTTCTTGCACAGTTGTATGCAGTTGAGCTAGAGGGGGTTTTAGTTTCTTGATTTTATTTTTTCCTTTCTGCAGTGACCCTTTGTTTTCTGCTCAGCGCCTTCCCCCTCATGGCTACCCCTTGGAACACCCATTTAACAAAGATGGCTATCGGTATATTCTAGCTGAGCCTGATCCCCACGCCCCTGACCCCGAGAAGCTGGAACTTGACTGCTGGGCAGGAAAACCTATTCCTGGAGACCTCTACAGAGCCTGCTTGTATGAACGCGTTTTGTTAGCCCTACATGATCGAGGTATGTAAAGTATTAGGGATCATATGGATGCAGGGTTACTTTGAACTGCCATCATCAGCCTTGTCAATCTAGAATTAGGGGTACATCTCAGTCTTTTACCACTGCCTCACTCCATCTCTAACTAGATTCATCCAGAATGTACAAGAAATAACCTCCTTTTCTGTTCCTTCCTATAAGCTCCAGCCATTTTATATACATATATATGGTTTTTTCATTTTTCTTTTTTTTTTTTTTTTTTTTTTGAGACAGAGTGTCGCTCTTGTTACCCAGGCTGGAGTGCAATGGCGCGATCTCGGCTCACCGCAACCTCCACCTCCTGGGTTCAGGCAATTCTCCTGTCTCAGCCTCCTGAGTAGCTGGGATTACAGGCACGCGCCACCACGCCCAGCTAGTTTTTTGTATTTTTAGTAGAGACAGGGTTTCACCATGTTGACCAGGATGGTCTCGATCTCTCGACCTCGTGATCCACCCGCCTCGGCCTCCCAAAGTGCTGGGATTACAGGCTTGAACCACCGTGCCCGGCCTCATTTTTCTATTTTGAACTAATTTTAAACTTGAAGTAAAGTTGCCAAAAATAAGGTTTTTTCTCATAAAGCTTTTCCTAATGATAATATCTTAGAAAACCATATACAGTTACCAAAACTGGGAAATTAATGTTGGTAAATATTATCAACACAACTAAAGAAAGACCTTCTTCAAATTTTATCAATTTTCCACTCACACTTATTTCTCCTTAGTCTGTTGTAGTCTTTATCAGTTCCAAAGCCATTGTTTAGCTTTCATGACCGTGATATTTTTTAAGTGTTTTAATCAGTTATTTTGTTGAATATTCCTCAGTGAGGATTTGCCTGATGTTTTGTCATGATCAGACTGAAGTTATGCAGTTTGGGGAAGAATAACATAGACATGATGTCTTACAGTATCATCTCATAGGATTCATGATGTCAGTCTTACTGGTTATGTTGACGATGATCATTTGGTTAAGGCAATTATGCTGGCTTTCTCCACTGTAAAAAGCTACTGTCTTTCCTTTTATAGTTAATAAATGTCTTAGGCAAAATACATCAAGTCTATCTATGCAAATATCTTGTTTGTTTTTAAACTTAATGTCTACTGATTTTAGCACCAATCAGTGGATATTGTCTGCCACAATTATTACTGTGTTGTTAGTAATTTTCTATTTCCTCTTTCTCTTTTCCATTTATTTAATTGATTATTTATATGAGTATGGACTCACAGGTACTTATTTTATTCCAGGGAGTATAATCCAATACTTTGATTATTTTGTTGTTTAAATTATTCCAGCTCCAGTAGGAGCTTCTTCAAAAAGTTGGTTCTTGTGTCCTTTTGATAAACGGCATCTTTTTTGTTTTTTTAAATACTTACTTTGAGGCATCAAAAGGTGTTCCTGGCTAATCTTATATTTTCTGTACCTCAGGCCTACTTCTTCACTGAACCCTGGTTCCTTTGATTGGAACGTGTTGTTTAGAAGTTAACATCTAGACGCTCATTTCCGTAGCACATATACCAAAACTGGAACGACACAGAGAAGATTAGCATGCCTCTGTGCAAGAATGACACGCAAATTCAGGAAGCATTCCATATTTTTTTTTAAGTAATAAGTAGTAATCAATATCTAGGTGTTAGGCGTACTGTTACTGGGCGTCACTGCTTCTAGACTCTCTCAGTGGTCAGAGGTAGGAAATGCATGTTTGAGTTTGTACAAACCCGCATGTACACACATAACTAAATTTATATTGGTACCTGGGATGACAGCCTTCTTCCTTTCCTTATTTGTAACGTCTTTCTCCAACAGTGGGAAATGTGAATAATTAGATAATTATCTACAATATATGTACTTTATTTCACATTATATTTTATTTATTTTGTTATAGACATCAGGGTCTCACTCAAGCTGGTATGCATTGATGCAGTCATGGTCACTGCAGCCTCAGTCTCCTGGGCTCAACTGATCCTCCTGCCTCAGCTTCCTGAGGCACACAGGCACACGCCACCACACCTAGCTGATTTTTTTGTTTTTTAATTTTTTAGAGGTGGGGTCTTGTAGGTTACCTAGGCTGGTCTCAAACTCCTGGGCTCAAGCATTCATCCTTCCTCAGCCTCCCAGAGTCTTGGGAGTAAGCCACTATACTTGGCCTTGTTCATATTTGTAATGTGCACATAAAGTAGTTTCAGAATTTCTAACCCCTGGGAGAAACATTTGCTAAGTAGATTATAACATTTATATATAGCTCTTTTTGTCTTTAGCCTTACAGTACCTAGTCCAAGATACAGGTAACTTAGATTAGTTCTTTTCTTCCCCACCTCCTTCAGTGTGATCATGTCTAATTAAGTTGGGTTCATTTCCTAATGTTTGATGCTATTTTGAATTCTCCCACATCTTGATTGGTTGTGTGTCTATATGTTTGGAATGAGGATGTGAAACATGACTATGGTTCTGGGAGTCAGAGTTGTACCAAAAGGTTTACAAAATGTCACTCCTCCCTCATCACCCCTACAATGCCCTTCTCCTTCTCTTTTTTCCACCATCTTCCTGCCCACACCTTAGTTTCTAGTTTATCCTTCCTGTATTTCTTCTTCACAAATGAGCAGATAAGTACATGTATATTTTATTGTATCTTCTTTTTTCTTCGTTTGTTTTTGGGTTTTTTGGGGGGTTGATTTGTTTTTTTTTGAAGCTGCAAGGCAGTGGCCTGACCTCGGCACACTGAAGCTTCCACCTCCCTGGCTCAAGCAGTTCTCATCCTGAAGCCTCCTGAATAGCTGGGACTACAGGTGTGTGCCACCACCCCCAGCTAATTTTCCTATTTCTAGTAGAGACGGGGTTTTGCCATGTTGGCCAGGCTGGTCTTGAACTCGACCTCAGAGGATCTGCCCATCTCAGCCTCCCAAAGTGCTGGGATTACAGGCAGGAGCCACTACATCCAGCCTTATCTCCTTTTTTTATACATGAATAGCAGTGTGCTATAGTCTTTGCCCCATGCAGTTATTATATTATTTGATTTTTATTTTATTTATTTATTTATTTTTATTTTTTATTTTTTTTAGATGGAGTCTCACTCTATTGCCCAGGCTAGAGTGCAGTGACACGATCTCGGCTCACTGCAAACTCTGCCTCCCAGATTCAAGCAATTCCTCCTGCTTCAGCCTCCCAAGTAGCAGGGATTACAAGCATGCACTGCCACGCTCAGCTAATTTTTGTATATTTAGTAGAGATGGGGTTTTACCATGTTGGCCAGGCTGGTCTCAACTCCTGACCTCGTGATTCACCCACCTCGACCTCCCAAAGTGCTAGGATTACAAGCATGAGCCACCACGTCTGACTTACCTACCCATGTATGTATGTATGTATGTATGTATGTATTTAGAGAAAGGGTCTTGCTCTGTCACCCAGGCTGGAGTGCAGTGGTGCAATCTCAGCTCACTGCAGCGTCGACATCCTGGCTCAAGCAATCTTCCCATCTTAGCCTCCCAAGTAGCTGGGACTACAAGCATACATCACTGCACCCAGCTAAATTTTAGTCATTTTTTGTAGGGACAAAGTATCATTCACTGTGTTGCCCAGGATGCTCTTAAACTGCTGATCTCAGGTTATCTTCCTTCCTTAGCCTCCCAAAGTTCTGGGATTACAGGCATGAGCCATTGCATCTGGCTTCATTGTTTATTTGTTCATTAGTTTGTCTGTTTTCAAGATGGGATCTCACTCTACCACCCAGGCTGGAGTGCAGGTGTTGCAATCACAGCTCACTGCAGCCTCAATCTTCCCTGATAAAATCAGTCTGCAAAGCCTCAAATTCACTCTCACCTTTTGCCATTTTTTCTTTGTGTGGAAGTCATGGGGTCCTCCCGACTATTTAAATTGCCCCTTATCTCTTTGGCTCACAGTTTCGAAGCCTGTATAAGAAGCATGGGACTAGCACCTGCTTCTGTTGAGGATCCCAGGCATGTCCACTCATGGCAGAAGGCAAAGTAGAGCAGGCATTAGATGGCAAGAGAGGAAGCAAGACAGGGAGGGAGGTGCCATGCTCTTTTTAACAAGCAACTCCCTCAGGAACTAATAGAATGAAAACTGAGTCAAACCCCCACACTCCACATTAATCTGCTTTTGAGGGGTCCACCCTCATGACCCAAACACCTCCCATTACACCCCACCTCCAACATTGGGATCAAATTTCAGCCCACACTTGGGCTCAAATACCCAAAGTATAGTGATACCTATACACCGTTCACCCAACTTTTAACAGATCAAGATTTTGTCATGTTTGCTTTATCTGTTTATTTCTTTGTCTTGCCCTCTTTTTCTGAATTAAAAAAATCCATATCATCCTACATACTCTAAAAACTATGCATCTCTTCTTAGAAAAAATATGTGGATTTTTTTTTTTATAACCGTAATAATTCCTTGCTATCATCTGGATTCAGTTTATAGTCAGATTTCCTTGATTGTCTTAAATACCTATTCATCTCCCTGAGATGTTTATTAATTACAAAAGGAAAATTATTTGTAATTGCAAAATGGAGCCCACTGTCTTAAGAACCCATGCTTCCTTCTGTTATTTTTTTGAGATGGATTCTTGCCCTGTTGCCCAGGATGGAATGAAGTGGTGTGATCTCAGCTCACTGCAACATCTGCTTCCTGGGTTCAAGCGATTCTCTTGCCTCAGCCTCCCAAGTAGCTGAGACTATAGGCGAGTACCACCACACCTGGCTAATTTTTGCATTTTTAGTAGAATTGAAGTTTCACTATGTTGTCCAGGCTAGCCTTGAACTCCTGAGTTCAGGCGATCTGCCCACCTCAGCCTCCCAAAGTGCTGGAATTATAGGCGTGAGCCACCGTACACAGCCCATGCGTCCTTGAAGTACAAGTCTGTTCAGCTTTTTATGCAGTCATTACTCTGCAACAATCACACAAAGTACCATCACTGTGGGCTTTCAGTCACTAAAATTCCATTTATGTTCCTTTTTGATAAGAACATGAGAGACTCAAGACTCAATTCAAAGGACTAGAAAACCTAATTAAATTAGCAGAAAACCTGGAGAACCAAGCACCTTAAGAACACGTTGGGTTTCACAGGGACTGACTTAGTTTGGATCAGCCATGGGTGAAGCAGGAGCAAGGAGCAAGAGCAACAGTTGATGTTGTTTCTCAAACATGAGTCTTGTGCAGTAGCCAGTAACTGGGAAACTCAGCTGAAAGCTCCCTCCTAAAGCCTGAAAATTTGTATTTCTTATCAGATACAAACATGAAAAGAGGGAAGGACCCCTCAGATGATCAGAATAAAAGTATTACTTCCTAAGTCATTCCATTGCAATGGAGAAACCTGGCAGGCGAGTGAAATCACTATTTTAACAGCATGTGTGATGCACTGAGGGGCACATTACCTCATTGGAGTTCCTGAGTAAAAATAGCAATGACTTGGACCGTAAAATGAGGAAACACCAGGCCGGGCGTGGTGGCTCACGCCTGTAATCCAAGCACTTTGGAGGCCAAGGCGGGCGGATCACCTGAGGTCGGGAGTTCAAGACCAGCCTGACCAACATGGTGAAACCCCATCTTAAAAAAAAAAAAAATGAGGAAACACCAGGCCAGAGTTACACCTGTAATCCCAGCACTTTGGGAGGTTGAGGCACGTGGATCACCTGGAGGTCAGGAGTTCAAGACCAGCCTGGTCAACATGGTGAAATCCCATTCCTACAAAAATACAAAAATTAGTCAGGCATGATGGTATGTGCTTGTAATCCCAGCTACTCAGGAGGCTGAGGCGGGAAAATCACTTGAACCCAGGAGGCAGAGGTCGCAGTGAGCCGAGATCACACCATTGCACTCCAGCCTGGACAATAGAGTGAGACTCCATCCCCGAAAAAAAAAGAAACACCAGACAAATGTAATTGAGGGACATTCTACAAACTAAAGTGACCAGTATTCTCCGAAGTATCAAGCTTATGAAAGGTTAGGGAACTGTTTGAAATTGCAAGAGACTAAGGAGACATGACAAGTAAATGAAATGTAGACTCTAGGATTAGAACCTGGGCCAGAAAAGGGGATATAACTTGGGTAATTGGCTTGATTTTAAGAAGATCTATGGATTATTTAATAGTATTTTATTATTAATTTTCTGGTGATGATTATGTTATGATTATATGTGGTGTTAACATTTGGGAAAACTGAGTGAGGTACACACTAGGACTCCATCATTTTTTGGAAGTCTGAAATTGTTTTAAAACAGTTAAGGCCAGGTGCAGTGGTTCATGCCTGTAATCCCAGAACTTTGGGAAGCCAAGGAGGACGGATTGCTTGAGTCCAGGAGTTTGAGACCAGCCTGAGCAACTTGGCCAAACCCTGTCTCTACAAAAAAATAGCTGGTTGTGGTAGTGCTTGTAGTCCCAGCTACTTGGGGGCTGAGGCAGAAGGATTGTTTAAGCCCAGGAAGTCAAGGCTGTAGTGAGTCAAGATCACACCACTGCATTTCAGCCTAAGCAATAGCATGAGACCTTATCTCAAGGGGGAAAAAAAAAACTAGATAAGAGGCTAGGCACAGTGGCTCATTCCTGTGATCCTGGTACTTGGGGGGCCAACACAAGAGGATC